CTTCCCCAGCATTATTGCTTCAATAAAAAAACTCACCGGTATTACAGAATTTGTGATAATGAATTTGAAGCGATGTCAAGGCCCTAGGTCGGTTGTTGATGATTAAAGGTTTACAATTTCAATTGATTATTTCTTTCATATAAATACAATCTTGCTTGTATTTATATATGATTCCTGGCTTCTAACAGAGTTTCTTCCTTGGCCGATGAGGAGTGAATAATAATCCAAGTCTTTGGTGTCTCGTATTTATACCATTCCAGGTAACGGTACTAACTCAATATTAATATCCAGAGATGGATTTTAATCAGGGCTGTATTTTGTCACCGCGAATTTAACAAAAAGAGATAGACCAATCTATCTCTTGCTATAGGTTGCCTCCTGGTGAAATCATCATAACAGCTAACAGTACCATTAAGTTCTGATCGCTGTTCAAATAAGTAATAGTTTAATATAGGAGATTCGTGGCTCTGTAGTAGACACCTAGCTTCGATTTCGTTAAATTAAATTAAAAATGTATCATAAATACATAGATAGATAGTGAAAATGAATAGTTTCATCATACCATGAGGTATTTAATTGGTCCTTCCTTAGTAATTGGATATATATATATATATATATATATATTATAATAGAGGGAACTATTATGGTTCTATACAAAAATACCCAGTTTTTGCAAGGACCGAATATTTTGTCCACTAATCTGAGATTAATTCTCGAATTGTTTATTTTTATTTTTGGTAAGTCAACTTGGCATTTTTCTCTTCCTTGTATTTTGCATTATAATAACAGATAGCAGAAGAATTTATTTATTATTTTCGTGCACTATCTAATAGAAATATTTTTTTATTTTATTACTTTTGAACAGCAACCAAAACCTAATAGTCCTATAAGCTGTTGTGCTGATTTTGATTTAATACTGGTCTGTTTGACAGATGGCAAGCCAATCAGTTGTCACATCTCTGTATGATATATTATTTTTACAATTTCTGTAATAGGGCGAGTCATTTTTATTAGTGCAGCAATGCCTGGTGAGAACTATTTTCACTTGGAAACATATTGTTATCTATATTTTCAAGTGAAAATCGTTGTCACTGCTGCCTGACAACAAGCTGCTCGAAGTGGGTATCGAACTCGGGACCTCTAAAACAAGTCCCGTCGCTATTAACCGCTTAGCTACGGGCGAGCCCTAACTGTAATATGGGAACAATTTAAAACAATAATATCAATATTGTGGAAGATTGCATTTTTTTGTTAAATTTTGTGTGAAGCTACTATTCTCAAAAAATCATACATTTTTTACACATATAACATATATGTGTTTATAAGGTCTATGCAAAAATATATAAATTTTTTGATGAGTGAAATTGTGATGATAATGATTTTTTTAAAATCTTGCCATGTTTTAATGAAATGCTAAGATTTTCATAAGTATAAATTTTTATTACTTTATTTTCAGCTATCGTTCAATTTTGTGTGGAGCTACTATTCTCAAAAAATCATTTTACACATATAACACATATGTGTATCATAAGGTCTATGCAAAAAATATATAAATTTTTTGATGAGTGAAATTGTGATAATAATGATTTTTTTTAAATCTTGCCATGTTTTAGTAAAAAGCTAAGTTTTTCATAAGTATAAATTATTATTCTTTTTTTTTCAGCTATCGTTGCCGACATCGACATCTGTAGTAAACCGAGGTTCCTCTGAATACCAAGGAGAAATAGGTCCTTGCAGTTCTGCAGAGCCTTACTAGCTTTATTAAGTAAAAGTGCAGCAAAAATCGTTCATAAAAATCATCATTTAAAATAGTTTGACCTAGGAACTCTGATGGTTTCTTATTTAAGATATGTAGTAATCCTCAGAACAATTAGTGAAATGCTTAAGTGGCAGATGAACATTCCAAAGTTGACCTACGAAGTTTTATGTTAAGTAGACTAACTTAATTGTTAATTAATCGTAAATTAGGTATTTTATAAAAATATTATATATTACTTGCTTCTATTATATGATAGTTCGTTCAATGTTGTTATACTTTTTTATAATTAAAATCGTGCCCGTATTGTTATAATGATATGATAGTAATTTGAGATAAATAATTGGAGGCCGGTGGGCAAACATTTCATTGTATGTATGGCGTTTTCAGGTATTTAACCACGGTTGTATCTAGTTTTGGTTTCTTAAATGCAGATGTATTTGCTACCAGACCACTTATCCAAAAGGATCAATGATTTGTATGTCCAGTATCTCATCTGTTTGTAACCACTAGCTATTTTAACCACAGAAGCATCATTTATAATCAAACACTTTTTACAACTGATTATTTTACTAAAAGTCCATGAGTGTAGATATTTAACAATATCAATCAAAAATTATAAAAAAATTGTAAATTTGTTACTGTAAGAGGCAGGATGCGTGCTCATTCAGTGAGCTCTACAGAATGCACCTTCAATCACTGTTTGAAAAAATTTTATTTCCTTAATGAAATTAATGTATCAATAAGATTTGCATTTATTTGAAAAAAAATTTGTATGTCACTAATTTTTATTCTCATCCGTAACGAAAATGTATATAAATTACCGTGCTTAGATCATTGAAAACGCTTATAATGTTGAAAAATAAATATTAATGTTAATTTAGCAATGATTTATTTTAATTATAGATGAATTCGATGAAAGAAAATGTAAATAATGAGAAAAAAGTCTGTTTTTACATTTGTAAGAGAAAATGCAGTCAAAAAATAGTCATATACAAAAGAATGTTACTATGTGTTTATTTGAACTGAATATTTATCCGAGTAATCAAAAATATTATGAATTTAACATAATTGTATAGATATTATATGCATTTATAATTTAATTAATATTTATACCACATACATACGCACATGCACAATAATTGACTTTGATGCATTTAATAAATGCATATGCCAAAGGTCTGCTTGGCACAAATTTTCCAAAATTTTGATATTTTTATCAGTATTAATATTAATCATATTTTTCTTCATTATACTATCATTATGACTATAATTTTTGTGTAACAGAATGAATGATCAAATTAATCAATTATGTTACCAAAATTACTAGTTCATGCAATAAAATAGTAATAAGCTTGTTTATGTCCTGAGCTAACAATAATTAATCATGTTAATAAATTTATAATTTATTAATAAATATTAATAAATAATATTTTTTATAACAATTTAATCTATGTGCATGTGTGTAGAAACATAAACACACATTCATTTATTCAAATTTAGTCGACTGACGAATTACCAACTGTTCATGTTACATATTATGAAAAATATGTAATTGTTTAACAAATCGAAATAAAATTATTAAAGGAGACAATGGTTATTATGATTTTAATTTTTCCTTTCAGGTGAAGCTAATATGATGACCATTGTGATATCGTTTATTAAAATATTGCATAGCAGTTTTCAATAACACGTCTAAGCAATAATTACAACGAGGACAAGTGTGAATGACTCTTGTAATAAAAATATACCAGAAACTAGTGGGGTGTAGGGCATAGTGCCTTAAGGCAAATTGCTGGAACTTCCCGTACCGTAATTGAAAATCTTGGTGCGTAACCCAAAAAAAATTACACCAACTGTACACATTATGAAAATCTCTATAAAATATCTGATAATTTGATGTGCATAAGTTCAATAAACATTTTTGACCGCTAAATGGCATTTTTTTAACTTATTCTTATTGAGAGTCCATAACCGCTGGACCTGCCTTCCCAAAAATTTAATCAGCTGTTTATCATATCAATACAAATAAAATGTTTTTTGAATGATTACAATCAGACGTCCTGTTCTCTTAAAAACTGAGTTACCGTTTTTGGCACTTTTTGCCCCGTGTCTTCGGAACTGCTAGACCTGCCTTCGCCAAAAACAAATCAGCACGTCTCCTTATCAATACGAATCGAATGTTTTTTGAATTATTCAAATCGGTTGATCCGTGTTCCCGAAATCTTCGACGAAAATTTGTATGCGCACACGCACACACATATACAACACGTACACATATACACACACCTAATACATAGTGTTACCAAAATAATTTATAGGCCAAGTTATAAATAAAACTTTTTTTAAAAAAATATCGCTATTTTCTAAAAATTAATATCTCATTAATAAATTAAAGTTTATATTACAGCAAATGTTTTTGTGTTGTATTAATTATAATTTAAACTATACTAATAATAAAAATGAAATAATTATAATAATAATTATATTAGTTGTGAAATTGTTATAAAAATGTTATCAGCTTTGTGATCAAAACTTACATATATATAAAGATTCGTCATATCTGCATTCCGTAAACGACGTATTGCAATGATTCAATGTATATGTATAATTCAATTTAAATAAATTAAAAAAAAAACAATTTAAATAAATTAAAAAAAAATTCAATTTAAATTAAAAAAAAATTCAATTTAAATAAATTAAAAAAAATTAAATATCTTTTGGCACTACAAATTTTTAGAGGTAGTTCAAACATTTAAAATGAACGAGTTTTTAAAAATATAATCACATAGCAAGTTGATTACTATATTTTACTGTACATTTTTAATGACAATATTCTCATCAAACTGAAAATAAATTAAACCACCGTATCAATTTTTTTGGTTTTATTATAAATTTAAATTGTATAATACATCACAATTTAGTTATATGTATAATTGATGTAATATATTTAGTACGTGCTAAACTATGCACTGTAAATAGCAATTGATGAAGTAGAGAAATTGGCAAGGAGTGCTGCTAAACTGTTTGAATCTACATAATTACGATTATAAAAAAATTAAATTTTGTTTTAATATTTATTTACAACAAATGTTTTAACAATAACAAATATATTATTCAGATGGTCATAATTTCATAACATGTTGCAAACACACGAGAGTTCATAGCAATAAATTTTCCAAAGAAAATGCTAAAATCACATTTCATAATTTTAATTTAAATATTAAATCAAAATACATTGAAATACATTGTCAAAACTAAGTGATATATTAGCATAAATATTTTACAAGATAGGTTATATGCCCATGAGAAAATGAATAGATCTTTGGTGAATGCATTGATGATACAAAATGAATTAAATTAAAGAATTGTCTGCAATAAACAGTTCTAATACTGCTTAAATGTAAGGAATGAAATAGTGATGAACTTAAAGGCAAATTTAATCTACTTCTTCAATTGTGGGTCCAGCCCCTCCTGCTCCAGGTGCTCCACCAGGTGCTGCACCGCCGGCTCCTGGGAATCCTGGCATACCTCCGGGCATTCCTCCTGGCATACCACCTGAGCCTTGGTACAATTTTGTGATAATTGGATTGCAGACTGCTTCTAATTCTTTTTGTTTGTGTTCGTATTCTTCCTTGTCAGCCAATTGGTTAGCATCCAACCATTTAATAACATCATTGCATTTGTCCATAATTACAGTCTTATCGGTTTCGGCAAGTTTATCCTTCAATTTTTCATCTTCCATGGTGGATTTCATGTTGAAGCAGTAAGATTCTAACGAGTTCTTAGCAGCAATTGTAGACTTTTGTTTCTCATCTTCATTTCTGTATTTCTCAGCATCGTTAACCATCCTTTCAATGTCTTCCTTGCTAAGACGACCTTTGTCATTTGTAATGGTGATTTTATTTTCCTTGTTGGTTGATTTTTCAATTGCTGTGACATTAAGAATACCGTTAGCATCAATATCGAAAGTTACCTCAATTTGTGGGACACCACGAGGTGCAGGTGGAATGCCAGTCAACTCGAATTTTCCTAAGATATTATTGTCCTTTGTCATAGCTCTTTCACCTTCAAATACTTGAATCAATACACCTGGTTGGTTATCAGAGTAGGTAGTGAAGGTTTGAGTTTGTTTTGTTGGAATTGTAGTGTTACGCTTGATCAAAGCAGTCATAACACCACCGGCAGTTTCAATACCCAATGACAAAGGTGTGACATCCAAAAGTAATAAATCTTGTACTTCTTCAGACTTGTCTCCGTGCAAAATAGCTGCCTGTACAGCAGCACCATAAGCAACGGCTTCATCAGGGTTGATGGATTTGTTCAATTCCTTGCCATTGAAGAAATCTTGTAGCAATTTCTGTACTTTAGGAATGCGAGTTGATCCACCAACCAATACAATATCATGTACATTAGATTTGTCCATCTTAGCATCTCTCAAAGACTTCTCAACAGGCTCCATGGTTGATCTGAATAAATCGGCATTCAATTCTTCAAATCGGGCACGAGTGATTGATGTATAGAAATCAATACCCTCGAACAAAGAATCAATTTCAATGGTAGCTTGGGTTGAAGAAGACAAAGTTCTCTTGGCTCTTTCACAAGATGTCCTCAAACGACGGAGAGCACGCTTGTTGGAGGTAAGATCTTTCTTGTATTTGCGTTTGAATTCTTGTACGAAGTGGTTAACCATGCGGTTATCAAAATCTTCACCACCCAAGTGAGTATCACCAGCAGTAGATTTGACTTCAAAAATACCATCTTCAATGGTTAAGATGGACACATCAAAAGTACCACCACCCAAATCAAAAATAAGGACATTTCTTTCGCCTACACCCTTCTTGTCTAAACCATAAGCAATAGCAGCAGCAGTGGGCTCATTGATTATCCTCAACACATTTAGACCGGAGATAGTTCCCGAATCCTTGGTGGCTTGACGTTGTGAGTCATTGAAGTAGGCAGGTACAGTAACGACAGCATTGGTCACAGTTTTGCCTAAGTAAGCTTCAGCGGTTTCCTTCATTTTAGTCAACACCATGGAACTGACTTCTTCAGGGAAGAAGGTTTTGGATTCTCCTTTGTACGATACTCTAATTTTTGGTTTACCTCCATCGCTGACAACCTCGAAGGGCCAATGTTTCATATCAGCTTGGACTGTTTGGTCCTCGAATTTACGCCCAATAAGACGTTTGGCATCTAAAAAAGAAAGTGATAATTAAATATGGAAAAAATTGGCAAAATTCGAATAGATTTAAAGGGTATTTCTTTAACAAATTTCAGATTAAATTTACAATCATTTACAATTCAGAAACTCTAGTCTGACAATAAAAAGGTATCATCATATACAAGTAATGCAAAATAAAAATTTAATTATGGTAGAATACTTACCAAAAATTGTGTTATTGGGGTTCATGGCCACTTGATTCTTGGCGGCGTCTCCGATGAGACGCTCTGTATCGGTAAACGCGACATATGAAGGAGTAGTCCTGTTTCCTTGGTCATTTGCAATAATTTCTACTTTTCCGTGTTGGAAAACACCCACGCAGGAGTACGTAGTACCCAAATCTATACCAACTGCTGGTGCTTTAGCCATCTGAAAAAGATTAACAAACGTTAAATACTCAAAAAAAATATGCATTTATCGATTTCAACAAACAATTTAATGCTTCAGATTTAAATTATCATTCACGAGTTAATATCAGAAACTCTAGTCTGTAAATGAATCATCATATTTCGATATGCGCCTTCCAGAATATTCGGCGCGACCACGTGTGTAATGCGGGCAAACCGCCGAATCAAAATGCACCGAAATTCGTTAAAAACAGTAATTAACACAATGGAATAAGTTAATTAATAACCCGTAATGCTATTAGATTAATAGAAAATCAAATTATAAAAAATCACCATTTCCTCACACACGAAAAACACATGAAAATAAGTAAAATTGCCGGTATATAACAATTAAAACATATTTAAACAGATTTCGACATATTTTATAATGAATTACTTAATTTAAACACTCACCTTAAATTTTTATATATTGCAGACAAAACTTGAAGTTATTCTTACTATCTTTAGCACTGATGACAAAATGAATCGATACAATGGCGGGTCAACTATTCTTATATATATATGAACGAGGCTATGAGAAACTTCGAGAACATTCTGAGATCCAACCAATCACAGCGCAGTATTCGACTTCATACTCTCTAACCAGTGTTATTTCGTATTAACAAATATTTTTATAATTTTTGCTTTTTGTTAACTTTATATAAAAATATAGTAATATAATTTTTAATTTTACGTCGCAAAAGCATAAAAATGTATTTGTTTTATTAAAATTCAGTTAAATAAAATTTTTCTATATCGAATATTCTAGGTATCAAAAATGCCGCTCAGCAGTGTTGAATGGCGCGTTTTTTAAATTTATCTTATTGTAAATGTTTTGGGAATGAACTATTTCAAATACATAATAAAACGTTATTAAAGTTTTTATAAAAATACCGTACACAATGTTTTACATAATTTGAAATTCAATGTGTCAAACGTTTTTGATATTTTGATAATGAACTAATTCAAATTAATAAATTTATCTCTATCGTTTACTTATCTATAAAATAAGAACTAGAATATATTTTATCATCAATTATTATCTAACTATCAATGTATAAAATATTTTTTTATTATAATGCAAATAATTTTATTAAATTTTTAAATTATTTATTTGGTATTTGCATCTAAATAGAGAAAATAAAAAATAATTAGATTTGAATCTATCTATATATTATATGGATGATATATTTGCAATATTTTATCATTTTTAAATTTATTTAAGTAATGCTTAGACAAATTATATTGCTTGTTAATTATATGATTATTATATTATTAATTATTTCAAACTACCTTACAACCATAGATAAACAAGTATAAATGCTCTTATCTTAATAGTTAAGATATTTTCAATTATGATTTGGTCTAAAATATATATATATAAATTTGTAGGAAAAACTAATTAAACATTTGATTATAGTATTTTTGTAACTACATACACAAATAAAAATCACACACTAGATATGGTTCTTTATATTGCATACATCTTGTATTTAATAAAAACAATTGTATAAAATCTAAAAATTTCGCTATATTTCAATAATATATTGACAAATTTAATAAATATTCACAATATTGTCATTACAATATTCATGATAAAAATGCTTTTGTACATTTTTAAAATACATTTTTGTTATGCTTTTGTGAAGTATGATTGGTAGACCATTCCGAGGGAAGTAGTGGCAAATAGAGTAAAACAACTCCACCATGTTGCAAAACCAAATAGACCACGAAAAACATCTTCATTAAAAACCTGAAAATAAAAAATTGGTTTACCAAAAATTCCAAATCATTTTGTAGTGATGCAATAATTAAAAATATTATAACATAAAATTTAAAATTGCAATATGATGTTTTTTTATAATAAGCACAAATATCTTATTTGCTTATTTGTTATAAATTTGTTTTAAAAAGAATTAGAAATATGAAACAACAATTTGTAATATTTTTAATTAAACTAAGAATATTTTTCAACCTCATGTTACTTTGCAGTCTGAAAATTTAAAATATATATTGAAGAATAGTGTTAAGAACTAATATATAAATTTCTGTATAATTGCATATACTTTCATTTAACACTTGAAATATTCATAAGTATTGCTTTTAAAAGGTAAAAGTAAGTGAAAAAATCAACTAACTAATTTTAAATTTCCTAAAGCAAATTGAAACTGCTGAGCTGATTCCAAGATAGAAGCTTCTTGTGTTTCTTGTACTTTTGGCACATGACTAGATAATGGACATTCTTCTGTAATATTTGTGCTATTAGTTAGGGCTGACCAACTAAGACCACCGAGAGTTTTATACATAAAGGTAAAATATAAGCAGATCAATATAGGAGCCACATATTGCACGCTAACTACACACAGGTAGTAGAAAACTGCTGCCACCTGCAATGAAGTAAGTATATAATTGATAGGTTTAATTATTTCTCTTATATAAAAACAGAATATACATTATATTAATTAGTTTTAAGTAAAACAAAGAAGTAAATGTATACATATATTTATATATCAAACTTAGAATATATTTATTATTCATTGCTACCTTTTTCTGTAACTCTTATTTGTAATCCTTCCAGCCTCTTTTTTCTGTTCTTCTAACCGATAGTATGCCATATTTAGGTAAGTTTGTAAATACATTGGCATTAGGATTAAACGCAAGATAACAACAGCAACTATTGCAACCAGGCGGATAGTTTCGAAAGCACTTTCAGTTAACCTAAATTATATAAGTGTATATGTAATAAATGCATATAAACTAAGTACTTTGCATCAAACAAAAAAATTAAATTTATTTAACTAACATTCATTGAACTTCATGACATTCATATATTGTCTGTATTAAAAAAAGTTTAATAAGTAAAAATTAAGCTAATTCGTTAAGCATGATATTCTTAGTTACTTCTTAATGCAATAGCAATGATCTATTCAATGTGCATTTACAATCTATTACATGATTATTAATGAGTCTTTTAAGAATGGTATATTAAAATAAACATTTTTAGAATTATTTTTGACTCACAATGGTTGATTCATTCCAGAAAAAATCCTTACAGTAAGATAGTCTCTACTAACAGGCTTAATCCATAAAATCACCAAAACAAAAGGTAATGCAAAACTCAAGTTTAGTAATAGTTGCAGGATCCTGTTATCCTTGTAATATCTGTAAAAAAAAATATATATAAGGTTTAAAGTTACGGTTATTGTGAAAGCAATATAAATATTTAAATTTTATTGCATATTACTTTAAACAGTCCCAATGCATTCGAGCCATACGCATTCCAGGGAAAGTAAAAAGGGCTCCAAGAAGTCCACACCAGAGTGCCAAAAAGAATTTTATAATTAATTTTGATGCTGGACCACTAAAATTAATATAAAATTAGAAATCATAATATGATGTGCATAATATTTAAATCATATATTACCTAGAATTTAATTCTTGACTATTCAAAAATATAGCAGCATTTTCATTAAAACTTGAATATGCTTTTTCTAGGCCTAATTCTAAATTATTTTCATCTATAATTAGAATGATCATCGCAATAAGCAAATAAGAGAGACCAGTTACAATACAAGTTGATCTTTCTCCAATAGATTCTGGACTTTTGAAGTACTGCATTGTTAGTGATATAAGTAATTTTCTAAATTATGTAATGTAAGAAACATACACATTTAATAATAAATTGTGATATCAACAGTAATTATATATAGGTGAAAAAGCAGTGAAAACAGTAGATTTTACACATGCTCAAACTATAAAAAAAAAATCATGTCTGTTTATAGTTTTTCATTTTATATTTCCTGTTTTAACACTTAACTGATTATATTCAATTATTGTTTTCAATTTTTGTTAGAGTTTATAATTAAAATATTTATGTTATATTTTTGTCATTGTGTCTGATATATTTCAAATTATTTGCTGATATTAATTAAGAACATCACAAAATTAATAAATATCTATTTTATTTTTATTTTTTAATTGCATGGAAGCCTAAAATTTCCTTTAAGCCTGCAATTGATCTGATTTTGTGTATATATTTCAATTCAAAAGGATACAAGCTAAATCCAAGCATCAATATGCACCATAACATGCTTAAATTCATCTCATCTACCAGGGGGATATAATAATGATAAACCTTTAAAAAAAATTAACATACACTAAAAAATATTAAAAGTAATTAAATTAATGTATAGTTTACCTCAGTAATTGAATAAACAATTGAGCTATACAAAGCAAAATCAACTAGCCATTGATATTCATTATAAAACCTTAAATGAATAATATCTAAATCTGAAACTTTAGCTGTTTCTAAAGTTATATCCAAATTTCTAGGTATATGAAAAGTTTCAGATTTTTTGTCAGTCTCTGTAAAGTGATTTTTAGCATTTTTTCTTGATTTCGGTTTTTCCTTCGAGATGCCTGTAACCAGATTCATAACATTTGTTCTTAGTTATAAATCAATGATAAATAATTTTAGCACCTGCTAATATTTTTAATTCTGAATCTGTTGGATAGAGATAACGTGTGAGTCCTGTGGAACATAATAACCATCTAGCAAAAGAAAAATGAGGTCCTAATTTCTGAATTAGGCTGGCCATAACAAGAGTTATGACCAATTGAGCACCAAGAACAGCCTATAATTAACATCCAAGATTAAATATAGAAATATAACCTAAATAATTTCATTCATTCATACCATTATTGCTTAGGATCACAAATAACATTTAACAATCATTATAAATCAACTTTTAACCATAATTAAATTTAACATGTTATTGATGGCTGCATGATTTATAATATAAACATTATGATATGATTTATTGTTATTAAAATTATCAGAATTTCATGATTGACAGTTCACTTTTGTCAAGGCAAGGCAGTGAGTCTGATCGGAATGAAGTTGGCCATAGTTTCCTTGGGAATACTTTTTCAGGTGTGCCAACATAAGCATTTATTATGGATCGAGGCATGGACTATGAAATTCTTATCCATTTCTTGTCTAATAATAAAATACCTTTATGAAAATAAAAATAATTTTTAGTTTTATATAGACTGTTTAAATTTAATCAGTTTTTACAAATTGCTAAAGTTTTCAGCGTTTTTCAAATATATTACATAAATAATCAAATTAAACAATAATCAGTTGTTTGGTGTTCAACGAAAGCAAATTATAATCAAATATGAACTGTATTTTTATTCGGTTTACTGACTAATTCAACTTTGCATTCACGAAATTCTAATTCTCAAATTATTCATTGTTAACAAACGTATGTGAACGCTCAAAATATTTAGTTCACAAATACTTATGAACGAAATGTATGTGTGAGTTTAAACGGTTGTTTAAAATACATTTAGAGATAAGTTAAGAAACACAAAATGAGTACAAATTTAAATATATTATTCCAAATACCCTTTTAAAAAAAAAACGCAAATAGGTTTTGCAAACTATGCTAATGCAAATTGATTTATTGAAAAGGTGTCTTGAAATGTATCAACAAATACAAAATGCATACTGAATTCTTTGTGAATTACAGACAATGCCTGAAAACAATTATTATTATTACAACTAAAAATGTCGATTGTGATCATTGATACTGGTTATTTAAATTGTATAGGTTAGAATTTAAATTGTATAGTATAGAAAGTTTTTATCCATAATGTTTTTACTATATCTATTTATCTTTTTGAAATATTGCACATCGTTCAGAAGATTTGACAGTTCGTATCGTCCGTATGTTGGTGTGTAAATTGTGGGTTGACGTTTGGGCTGTTTGAGTTAAAAGTAATAATAAAAACATGTCAAAAGTAAAGAAAGTTTTAGATGAAGCCAAAGAAATCCAAAATCCTGAATTGGATTTGGTCGAGAAAGGCATTTCCAGTTTTGATGACATGCCAGGCTTAAGTAAATATTTTGTCTTACCATATAAGGAGATTAGAAGTATAAAGTAACATTGGGCGTTACCTTGATAATATTTGATTAACATTATAAATGAATGTTTCTCGTGAATGAAAATTTCTGACTAAAAATGGATTATACGTACTTGGTGTTGATTTTTATTTTACATTTCAGTGGATATGTTAAATATCACCAGACTCTCTCTAAGCCACAACAAGATATCAGGTAAAATTGAAAATTTCATGACACAATGAGTTTATGTAAAAGAAATTATAATTGACATCTCAATTGTAATTGTAAACAAGCTTTTATATTCATGTAGTGTGAACCAAACAAGTTGACATTTTATTTTGTAAAATCCTTTTGATCGTATAAAAATATTTCCAAATAAAATATTGTTTCTTTATCACTTCTCAGTTGTATAATACATATATTCTTCCACTTTAGTTGTTCCTGCCTCAATTGCAAACCTCTCAAACTTGGAAATACTTAATTTCTCCAATAACCACATTGAAGAACTGCCATTATCATTATCATCCATGCCCAAATTACGAATATTGAATGTATCTATTAATCGCCTGAGTACACTGCCACGAGGATTTGGAGCATTTCCAGTGTTGGAAGTTTTAGATTTAACATATAATAATCTAAAAGAGGACACATTGCCTGGAAACTTTTTTATGATGGGTAATACATGAATGTTTTTAAAAGTATGTGATATGCTTACGTGATAACAATTATTTCTAATTATTGAATATGGACTTACTAAAAATTCTTACTAAAATTATTCATATTACGTACTTATTACACTTACCTTTATTTCTTCCCGAGGTATTAAGTTATCATTATCCTTATACCATAATTATTTCAGAAACATTGAGGGCTCTCTATCTGGGCGATAACGACTTTGTGCATTTTCCCAAAGAAGTGGGACAATTGAAAAATTTACAAATAGTAAGTATTTGATATAAAAACATTGCTGGTTGCCATAAATAGGTGTTGAACTGATGTCTCATTTAACTTTACTCCAGCTTGGTTTGCGAGAGAACGACCTTGTTGACATTCCTAAAGAAATTGGTGAATTATCGCGACTACGAGAACTTCATTTGCAAGCCAATAGATTGACCGTACTGCCACCTGAAATTGGTAAAGATTTTATAATCAAATAATACTATACATACTGAGTACTAATAAAAGACAGTGTATGATATAATTTAATACATTATAGGTAATTTGGATATGTTGAGCAATAAAGCCATACTTAAATTAGAAGGAAACGCTTGGAAAACGCCAATTGCTGAGCAATTGGTATTGGGATTGAGTCACTTAATGGAATATTTACGATCAGAAACATATCGCATGTAAGATTATATTACCTTTCTCTTACTTTTAACTACTTACTTAAGTGTAATCTCTTGTAATCACTTCATTTTAATATTTTCAAAATAATTTCAGATTATACAACAGGCATTTGGCAGCCAATGAACCACCGCCACCTTTAGATGTGGACAAAAGCAAAAAGGCATCAAGAGCTCGTTGAATATTAATATTTATTGCATATTAACAGTGCTTTACTTAAAATGTGCCTTGCTTTAAAATATAATTGAAGTGCTTTAATATTATTAATGACAACTCTAAACTTACGTAATTGGATTCCTATATAATATCCACAATGAAAACTTAACTAAACTTATAAATTTTATTTATTAATTTGTTGTAAGTATGTATACACTAAATAGTTAATTTTATATACAAAGAATTGCCAACATATATTAAATAAAAAAATATTTAGCTGTTATTAATGTTATAATTTATTCAAATATTTCTATGTATATGTATAAACATGATAAAGATATGAAAGTCAATACATATAATTTTTCAAGTGACTCAATTTTTTATATTCTATGTTTTTTTAAATCTGGATTTATTAAATTGTTGAATTTCTTTCCATAAATTGGTCTATAAACATCAGGATGTTCTAACCACATAAGGGTGTTGCAATTTTTATTTAAATATTTTAATTATTCATAAATATTTTTGGAATCCCACTCATAAAATGTAAGTTGAAAGTTGTCAATTCAAGTTGGCATCCATACAATTTTCCCTTCTTACCTTATATTTCATAAAAAGTGCTTTACTAAAATGTGCCTTGCTTTAAAATATAATTGAAGTGCTTTAATATTATTAATGACAACTCTAAACTTACGTAATTGGATTCCTATATAATATCCACAATGAAAACTTAACTAAACTTATAAATTTTATTTATTAATTTGTTGTAAGTATGTATACACTAAATAGTTAATTTTATATACAAAGAATTGCCAACATATATTAAATAAAAAATATTTAGCTGTTATTAATGTTCTAATTTATTCAAATATTTCTATGTATATGTTATAACATGATAAAGATATGAAAGTCAATACATATAATTTTTCAAGTGACTCAATTTTTTATATTCTATGTTTTTTTAAATCTGGATTTATTAAATTGTTGAATTTCTTTCCATAAATTGTCTATAAACATCAGGATGTTCTTAACCACATAAGGTGTTGCAATTTTTATTTAAAATATTTAATTATTCATAAATATTTTTGGAATCCCACTCATAAAATGTAAGTTGAAAGTTGTCAATTCAAGTTTGGCTATCCATACAATTTTCCCTTCTTACCTTATATTTCATAAAAAATAATAATGCCAACCTGTTTTATTAACTTCCCGTAGGGTAAGTTATAGAAATCGCAAAGAAAATCGAAAATGAAAAATTTTATATATATTTACGTTTCAAAGGTTTCTGAACATTTTGGCATACTTTAGACAAACTGGATGTACGTGTGTGTGTATGTATGTGCGGATACCATAGCTGGGCATTAACTCGTTAATCCGTTAATCGTTAATTAACGAAGTTAACATTTTGATTAACGGATTAACTTTTAAGTTAACTTTGAAAAATGTTAACGGACACGTTAACTTCCGTTAAAATGCGAGAAGTCCGTTAATCGTTAATCCAATGCCTACTATTTACCGCACGGCACAGCTTTAGCCAATGCCTTATTAAACGGCATAGAGAAAAGATTTGGACTACTCCTGAATGATAAACAGTGCCAACTTGCCGCGGCATTTCACCCAAAGTTTCGGTTAATGTGGCTGGAAACGTATGACAGGAAACGTAGAGAGGAATGCAGAAACTATAAACTATTGGACAAAAAAATAATTTTTTTTGAAAAAAATGTTTCTTTATTTTGACATATTTTGGAAGATCTGAACTTTTTTCAAAGCAATTTTACTGCTTTAGGACTGCATAGAGACAAAATATAAGCGCGTAAGCGCCGCGCGTCGCTGTCTAAAGGATAAACATTGGTACGGAACCCATAGGAATGTAAATAAAATTTATACTTATTGTTAAAATCTCTATAAAATATCTGATAATTTGATGTGCATATGTCTAATGATCATTTTTTACTGCCAATTGCATTTCCTTTTACTTTTTTTACTAGATCTCCGAAACCGCTAGACCTGCCTTCATGAAAATTTGATCAGTTTCTTCATTTTGTTTAATACAAGTAAATGTTTTTTGAATTATAAAATCGGACGCTCCGTTCTCTTAAAAACTGAGTTACCGTTTTTGGCTCAATTTGCCCCATATCTTCGGAACGGCTAGACCTGCCTTGCCAAAAACTAATCAGCACGTCTTCTTATCAATACGAATCGAATGTTTTTTGAATTATTCAAATCGGTTGATCCGTGTTCCCGAAATCGTCGACGAAAATTTGTATCCGAATACACATACATACACACACACATACATCCATTTTTTCTAAGGTATGCCAAAATATTCAAAAACCTTTGAAACGTCGAGAAATGCAAAAATTTTCATTTTCGATTTTTTTGCGATTACCATAACTTGCCCTACGGGAAGTTAAAAAAACTCTTTCCCTTTATTTAGAAAAAAAATTCTTATAAAAACAATATGCAATCATAAAAACGGAAGTTGACCAATAGCGTTATCACGGTATGTGATAATTGTGCCATTTTCCTTATACACACGGAAGTGTGCACAAAACGCGCGAGGGGTTAAATTACACATTTGAATTATACAAGTATTTTGTTTTATTCATAACCTGTTAACTTCCAGAACCTAAACTAATAAGTTTTTTAAGTTCACTAACGCAACGATATAAAAATGTAATTTTACACATATTAACGGATTAACGATTAACGTTAACTTGCGTTAATTCTTCCGAAATGTAACGCTTTAACGTTTAACGAAGTTAACTTTTTTTGTAGCGGATTAACGATTAACGAAGTTAACTATTTGATTAACGGTGCCCAGCTATGGCGGATACAATTTTTCGTCGACGATTTCGAAAACATGAATCAATCGATTTGAATGATTCAAAAAACATTCGATTCATATTGATAAGCAGACGTGCTGATAAGTTTTTGGCGAAAGTAGGTTCAGCCCATAGATAAAAGAAGAGTATATGGTCAGCCGTTCTGAAGATACGGGCAAAAAATGCCCAGAATGGTAATTAAATTTTTGAGAGAACGGGGCATCCGATTTGAATGATTCAAAAAACATTCAGCAGGCAGGTCTAGCCGTTTCGAAAATCCAACAAAAAAAGGGGGAAAAATGCCATTTGGGGGTCAAAAATGATAATTAGCGTTATGCACATCAAATTATATAATATTTTATAGATTTCAATTCAGCAACATTCAGCAGGCACAGGGTTAGCCGTTTCCAAGATCCAACAAAAAAAAGGAATTAAATGCCAATTTGGGGGTCAAAAATGATAATTAGTGTTATGCACATCAAATTATATAATATTTTATAGAAGTTGTAGTAATCGCAAAAAAATCGAGAATGAAAAATTTTATATAACTTTACGTTTCAAAATTTTCTGAACATTTTGGCATATCTTAGAAAAAATGGATGTATGAGTGTGTGTGTGTGTGTGCGGATACAATTTTTCGTCGACGATTTCGAAAACACGAATCAACCGATTTGAATGATTCAAAAAACATTCGATTCATATTGATAAGGAGACGTGCTGATTAGTTTTTGGCAAAGGCAGGTCTAGCCGTTCCAAAGATTCGGGGCGTGCCAAAAATGGTAACTCAGCTTCTAAGAGAACGGATCGTCCGATTTTAATAATTAAAAAAAGATTTTACTTGTATTGACAATATTATTTTTTTAACAGTATAGTACGAATTTATAGATGAAATAGTTATTACATAGTTTTAATACATAATTTGAAAATAACCTAAGATTTTTAACGATGCCAAGGGTAAGAAGAAAATATCGTAAAGATAGTATTCTTTGTGTGAAACTAGGTAATTTTATATAAATGAAATTTATTTATCACCCTATCCTACCTATTTCTAATTTGTTATAACTTTTTTAGAACGTTTGTCTTCTCGTATATTACAAAAATATAATGTCGACGTAAGTAACGTTAACCGTAGAAGTTTAAGAAATATTATATGTTCTCCCCAAGCAGTTAAAGAAAATGAAACAATATCTGGTGAGCAAAAAAAGTCAGTGAAAATTCCATCCAGTGGTAGCTCAGCTACTAAAAAAAGTGATAAAGGAACTCACCTACGAAGATATTCTGTGGTTGACCCAGAAAGGTCAGAATATGTAGTAGAAGCTATTAGATCAGTTACAATTTTTAATAACATTCCCAGATACGAAGTGAAATGGTTATATTGGGGAGAGGAATACAATACATATGAACCACAGCAGAATCTGAACTGTTCTGTAGCGCTACAAAGTTTTTTGGATAGCGAATACACTAAGTTTGAACCTGAAATTGAAGTCCTGATCAAAGAGCTTGCGGTAGGCCCCATGTTCACAGACAGTGCTTTAAAGGAATTTATAGTCACAGGTGTAACATTGGATGAAACACTACTAAAAAGTTATTTATTAGGCCTTATTGTAAATCCAAAAGCTAAAAATCATGTTAAAGTATTGCAAAGAGTACAAAGCTTGTTGCAGAAAAAAATATTTTTAGACAAACGAAAGTCTCAAATTGAAGCATTAAGAGAATGGGAAAATAAAATGAATGAGGTAGATATTAAAGGAAAACTAAGAGTTATAAATAATGTTGATTTTGAAGGACCCCCTGCTGATTTTACATATATTATACAAAATCTACCAGCTGACGATGTTAAAGTTTCCAACAACCCCTCAATAGGTTGCTCTTGTATGCCTTGTGGATTTAAGACAAATTGTTGTGGCAAATTGCATGGATCGGAGTATGCATATTTTGCTGAAAAACGTCTAAAACACACTGGAATATATATTTTTGAATGCAACAAGAAGTGTAAATGTGGACCTGAATGTAAAAACAGACTTGTACAAAAAGGCCGTACTAACAAGCTTTGTATTTTCAAAACCTCAAATGGGTGCGGATGGGGTGTGAAAACAGATCGACATATAAAAGCTGGTGATTTTGTTTGTGAATATGTTGGGGAGATCATTAAATCTGACGATGCTGAACAAAGGGGACAATTGTATGATAAAATGGGCGTTACATACTTGTTTGACTTGGATCATTTAAATCCTTCATCAGAAGCTTATACAATCGATGCATACAGATATGGAAATGTATCCCATTTTATTAATCATTCTTGTGAGCCAAATCTTTGTGTAGTTAATGTATGGGTTGATTGCCTAGATCCAAATTTATCTCGTTTGGCTCTATTCGCATTAGAAGACATTGAAAAAGGACAAGAAGTAACTATAGATTACAAATTCAGTGCCAATGTACCAATTGAAGACAATGTTATATCAGCTGAAAACTTGTATAATAATATTTCATCAACTAAATTTACTAAATCTTTATGTGATATATTGGATTCTGTCAATATCTTGAATAAAGACTATGGAAATACATTAGATTTACCTGATGCCGGCATAGGATTGTCCAATACTGATCCAGCTGAAAATGCTTGTTCCCAAAGCTCAAAGTTCATGCTTTGTAAATGTGGAGCAAAAAGTTGTAGAAGGATTTTGCGGTATTGTTAATAAAATTATTGTACTATAGTTTATTTATAAATTAATTTAAATCGAAAAAAAATTCTAAAAACAATGGTTTAGCAGTTTTCCTCTGTAACAATATGAAACAAAATTATTTGAATAATTAGAATTATTTATTTAATTTGAATATTCTGAACAACTATAAGATTTCTTTGCTGTTCTATTTCATTTTTTTGTAGATTTGCTTTACAGAAAGGTGTTGAGGAAAATAATGAGCAAATTCAAATTTTTATAGTAAATATAGAATATTCAATATTTATAGCTAATAAAATTTATTTGAAGGTATTTGGATTATAAACAGTTCAATCTGATAATAGACACTAGTCAGATTGTTCTCTAAAAAAATTCAAAAATATATAAAAAAAAATTGTACAAAATAAACTGAAATTAAATTCAAAATCTGTTACAAGATCTTTTGATGAGTTTGATATACTTTTTGATGATGGTTGGAGATTATTTAATGTTGTTTTATTTTCAAAGTGACGCTATGATATATAATTTATCTTTTTAAATATTCTGAATTGTATGTTAAAAATCTTATTAAAAATTTACTGAAAGTGTGAATGAATTTAGAATTCAAATGTATAATGCTTTCAAGGAATTTGTATTAATGTCACCATTCAACCTTGCAATCAATTTTATGTTTGAGATGAACTGGATTTTATCTTTACTCATATGCATTTTAAATTCAAATTGTTAAAATGTTAAATTTTTGAATAGTTAAATTTTAGGTTTTGTTGAATATCATATTCTTGGTATGAATTAGTTAATTTTTAGCAAACATTGTGTATATTAATTTGTTTAAATTGAATTAAATATTTTTATCAATTTTAGTGTTTGAACAATTTTAATGATACTTTTATAGATTTATTGATAAATCAGTTTAAAAATTAAAAATATGTAATATGCATTTATATATAAACTAGCTGTAAGTGGAATTCTGTCTTGAGGCATTTATGGCATCGTGCCTTAAGGCAAATTGCTGGAACTTCCCGTACCGAAATGTTCGAGGAATACTGAATGTTTTCAAATAGATTATTATAAATATTGTAACATTGTCTAATATTTATGAGAATTATATAAACTGAATTGCAGAGTTGAAAATATTTGTAAAGTATATTAGAACTATAGCCAGAATTAAAATAAAATCTGAAATATTTTTGATAAAACTAAAAAAAAAAAAAAAAAAAAAAAAAAAAAAAAAAAATTGAACAAAATTTTTTTTTCCAAAATCAATTATTTTGTTAAGACAAGCAGAAAGTTCTTTGAATCATTTAAATCGGACGCTTAGTTCTCTCAAAAACTGCCATTTTTTACATATTTAGCTCCATATCTTCGAAATGGCTGGGCCTGCCTTTGCCAAAAACTAATAAGCACTTCTCCCAATCATTACTAATTGAATGCTTTTTAGATCATTCAAATCAGATACTCCGTTCTCTCAAAAATTCGATTTCTATTTTCTGCACTCTTTGCTCCGTATCTCCGAAACGGCTGGACCTGCCTTTGCCAAAAACTAATCAGCTCTTTTCCCTATCAATAGGAATCGAATGTTTTTTGAACCATTCAAATCGGTTGATCCGTGCGCCCTAAAACGTGACTGGAAATTTGTATCCATACATACATACACACACACACACACACACACACACACACACACATCCATTTTTTCTGAGGTATGCCAAAACGTTCAAAAACCTTCAAAACGTCGAGAAATGTTAAAATTTTCAATTCCGATTTTCGGCCCATTACAATAACTTACCCTACGGGAAGTTAAAAATAAAATGCTGTGTGTGTTTCAATAAAGTAAACAATGTTGTGAAATACTAAAAATTTATGGAGTTTATTGTCATCTATATCTATTCATTCGTTTAAAGTTTTTATTACATATTTTACAATAACTTAAATATATATATATATATATATATAATATATAATCACTTATAAACATAAGTGTTTGCAATATTTACAATTAATTATTACACTCAAGCTCTATTTAAGGAAAAAACAATGTTATTTGAATTAGGTACAATTTGCCACTTTATATAAATCTGAGACATTGCAGCTAAATGTTTAACAGACTGATAGCTATATTTTTTTAAATTTAGCAGAGTTATAATTATTGAGTGCATTTTGATTTTTTATACATAAATTTAAAATACTATATAATTTGAGTCAACAATAAAGCATTTTAATATACATGTAAATTATCTTGAGGTCTTGGAATATACTAAATAAATATTTAGATGTAACTTATCATGTATTAATTTAAACAGTCACTATTTGTTTACTATAAAATTTCTTGCAGAAATTTGTAGTAAGGCAATTCAAGAAGATTTTTTCAATTTATTCAAGCGCAGTAGTAGAAAAATATGACCTTTCAAACTGGGTATCATACAATTGTCTGTATCACTAATTTTCAGATAAATGTTTTAAATAACAAGTTTAAATATTATTGAAAATTATAATTCCTTTTTTAACATAAAAAAGATAACTTTGCATTTGGAGAGAAGTCTTGTGAGAAGTAACTGTGGTCCATAGAAAATTAAATATATAATGGTAAAATATAAAGTATTATCAAATATGAAATTATTTTGATACACTCCTGATTACCACCTGATTATTATCTAAAAATGCTCATAACAAATTTTTTAATAGTAAATAGTTCTTTAACATCCTGCTAGACAATTAACATATTGAATAAATACTGCTGGTCATTTTATTTTGCCTAATAAAATAATTGAATCTATAATAAAGTACTTTCCCACTCTCAGGAACTAGAAATTTGACTGCTTTCTTCATTGCTTGATAGATGTGCGTTATGTCTATAAGAAGTCTTATTCGAACGTTTGAACCATGTGCCGACCATTTGTCCTATTGATATGTTTTCGCAATCGGTGGAATTGCATGATTTCATAAATCCTGCAGATAAAGATATATGCATACAAAAAAATTACATAAATTATAACAAATTTATAAAATTAATTCGGTTTTGCAGAGACATTAGGTCGATTCTTATTGATCAAAATGATTATACACTATTAGATAAAAAAAAAATATTTTTTACGAAAAAAATTCTTGCATCTGCCTTGATCATAAAATTTTAAAATTCATTTATTCACCATTGGTATATATAAATTTTAAAATTATTTTATTATACACCATAAAAAACAATATAAAAACCCACAACAAGATGCAATTTTGTGTAAGCGAACAACATTCCTTTGATCAAAATATTCATTAAAAATCATTGTATTTCCTTAACAATGTAGTAGAATATTCGTTGATTTATTTTTAATAGTGCTTTGTGTCGAGATTTTAAACATAATTATTTTATTGGTGGACTATTATATACATTTCATAGAGACATAAACAAGAATTTATTAAATAGGAAATTAGTTATACCTGCAGGCTCCTTTGAGCTGGCAAGCAAAGCCAGCCTCTTGACTTGTGGAGTGATTTTAAAATCTTGTTGGTCATCAGCAATAATTAATCGCTCTTGTTTTAAAGCCTCTAACCACTTCTGTTTACTTTTCGACGATCTTACACAAAATATTGTCGATTTGTTATCTTTATGTGAAAACAATCTGAAACAATGCCTCGAAGAAATGCCTAATGGCATGTCTTTTCCATCAACGACATCAAAAAATTCTGTATCATCCAATAGAATTCGTCCTTTATATATGTATGTGTTTCGTTTTAGTATATCCTAAAAATATTTTTAAATTTATACACCATGGTTATTGGTACTTTTAGTGATATAACTTACTTTTTTGCAATAAATGATTTGATGATCAAATAAAAATAGTGTGACAGAAAATGACCACATGCTCGTAGACATTTTGACTGCTTCTCCTTGATGGATGAGCTGAGAACTTCTTTCTATTAAGTCTTCCCCCTATTAATAAATTAGTAAATATATATTTTTAATTTAAAATCATTTTGTTTCACGTCAGTAGCTAATTTTATTTACTCACCTCCCATCCATCAATTCGTTTTTGCCATTCAGCTAGTTTTTCTAAAGATTCCATTTTCCTTTTGCGTTCATTAATTAAAATAGCTACACCTCTCATACAAGTTAGTGCTTCTTGTATATATTTGAAATCTAAAAATAAATTTGTATATAAGATATAAGACAATATGAAAAAATGTGCAACAACGACTAAATTGCGAGCAAAAATATGATATCAACACTAAATAAATAGTAATTAATATGAAACTATAATGCATCCAACTATAAAATCCAACAGGTTAAATAAAAAAATGCATTACCTTTATGCTCTTCAGGTGTATATTTTAGTAGTTCGGCCAATTGCAAAGGATATTTGCAAATTCTTTGAACAGGCGCTAACAAATGGCCACCCAAAGGAAGAGGCGGTAGGCCTCTCAATAGGCGGCATGCCTCCATAAAATGCGCGTGAGGTTGTGACGTTAAAACCGCTTGTAAAGTTGTAATTGCAATGGGATGTGTATTGCAATATTCCGAATATAATTGGAAACCAGATTTCTAAAAAGAAAAGGCAGAATAAATTAGGGGGCTTACATTAATCAAATGAGGTTTTTACGGGGAGGGGCAGGTTTGGCAAAAAATCACAAAATATCACGTCGGTGAGGGAGGGGTATGGTAAGATATCACGTGTATTTATTTTTTACATGATTTTTTTTTAAAAAAGTACAAGCATTTAAAAAAATCAAAAGTTTTGCATTTTTTTCTCGTAACTAAAAATACACGTCATGTTTGGTTGGGGAGTGGGGGTTAATTTTGAATATCACCACGTATCAACTAGAGGAAAGGGGGTTCAAAAATCCTTAGAAAGTCGATCAGGTGATTAAAAATAAAATTATAATATAAGTATGTATAACGTGGCAGACGCTTCATGTTTATCCATCGATTTAATGTTTCAATGGTAAGTCGGACTCTCGAATCTCTTATTTTTTTACAAAATTTTATTTAATTTATTATTGATATTTATGAATATAGATTGAAATACATCTTATTATATTTATCAGTATAACAGTTGATAACATCATTTAAGAATATCAAGTATAATAAATTTGTAAGGTGAGGTTTGATGGTTTGATTGTCAATAAAAATAATGCCATTATCGCTAGACAATATGGGAATAATATATTCA